GGGGCAGCGACGTTTCAGGTGGAGTTCACGTGGAATCCTTGTACGGATCATGGGCAGCATGACCGCTTCCCAGAAAATCCGCGGCGCAAGTCACCAGGAGGGAGGATTTCCTCGAGGGCACGTACCCTCCCTTCAAGAATTGCCCCCACAAGTAAGAAGGTTCTTCCACGCAACGAGTATTATAATGTCGAGAACATTTTGAAGTGGCGACAGGGAGAAAAGGGACTGGAGTACCTGGTCAAGTGGGCAGGATATGGGAAGAAGCACAATTCTTGGGAACCCACTGCCCATTTCGAGAGATGTCCCGAGGTACTAGAGGCATTCCACCAGAAGGTGGGATTGTCCAAGACTCCTTCCATGTAAATCCCGAACCGAATTTCACGCAGGGCGCCTAATGGTCGTCGGTAGATAAGATCATAGATTAATCACGGGACGTTTACATATACCATCTTCCGGCTGGTGAGAACATTGGGAAGTAGTGCTTGAAAAGTCCTTGTTGAGAAATACCTACCTCGCATTTGGCATCTGAGTCAACCAAAACCCCGTTGTTACTTGGAATGTTCCATTCCATCTTCCCGAGTAAAGAGGATGGCTAAGGTAAGTTAAGTAGGTGGTGTGAAAGGTGGTGAGTACAACAAAGATGTGTTGAGCAAGGAGTCTGAGTGGCTAATTTAGGTAGACGGTGTGCTAGGCGGTGGGCTAGGCGGTGGGCTAGGCGGTGGGCTAGGCGGTGGGCTAGGCGGTGGGCGGCAAAGAGTGCTCTATTGTACGTCAATTAGGAAGGCGGTACAATCACTAGCACAAATCGGCTTCCGCTTTTTACTCACTCTTCCATTGTCTGGAGTCCCCGGTTTGGATACATCGTGCCTGCTCCCACGGTCAAATGTTCAGCACAGTCCAGCACAATGCGCCTTTGCCCAGCTGACCTAAGCCGGGCAAGCTGCTGACTGTCAACATTCTTCAGATCAGGGCACATGTTTTCAAGTAACGTACTGTAGAGCCTCAAAAAAAATAAAAATATAATGTAATAAAAACAACGGGTGCTCTGCGCTCGTTGGCCTGCACTTTCTAACCATTGCCTAATGAAGCGCCCAATGTACCAACCTAGGGCTGCTGCGACCAATGATGTGACTGCCAAGTCAAAATGCTAACCAACACCGACACAAATTCCTTGCATACTGTACAAGGCAGCTGCCGTCAAAGATGTCACAAATCATTGTCTATCACACCTTAGCTGATTGGTTGGCTCCGTCCCTGGTGATGGCGATAGCCTGGCCCTGCACCCTCTTGGTAACGGAAATGGTCCGAGGCAATTCAAGCGTCAGCTACCCAGAGTTGGGACCTTGCTGCGACCTGCTCGCCAACCTGTTGATGGAGTGTCAAGACAGCTTGAATGGTAGAATTGATATGTAGCTAACATTTGGACTGCCTTAGACCGTTTCCGTATAAGGGAAGTTACAAAGTGATCTTGCGCCGGATTAGCTGAGGGCTGCCTAACTGATTGACCGTAGTGGTGTGGAGCTTGGTAAGTTAGGTGGTATTTGAGCAGTCAGTGAAAAATACGTGTAAAGACAGCTAGGTTAAGTAGGCGGTGTAAAGGCGGTGGGCAGGAGACAGTTACAGTCAAAAACCAACAAGGAAGGCGGTGCGAAGGCGGTGAGCAAGAACACTCAGGATGGCCAATCTAGGTAGGCGGTGTGCTAGGCGGTGGGTTGGAAGAGTAGGCTAATCAGGAAGGCGGTGATTGTCTTTCAATGTCTGACGTATCTTGCGAATTCGGCAGTGTCCTTCGTGCTTGCCCGTGCCATGCCCCACTTCTATTGGGGATTCACGCCTTGGAAGGTCGTAGGCCTGTATTCG